GCAGGACTTTTTTTTTTTTTTCTCCACGGGAATAAAAGGTTAGCCTTCCTTCCTTTCTGCTTGTCTATTCTTGGCCTAAACTCGGCAATGGAAAGAGAGTGGAAGCGGTCAAGCTACCCCAGTTCATGACCCAGGGGACACTCCTTTGGCCAGAATCGCCCTCATTTGCTCTTTCTGTTGCAGTGGTTGTAGCGAAACATCTAAAACGCCAAGCAGCCACCCCAAAAGTCCTGCTGGGAAAAGATTCCTGCACACAGGTGAGCGAGGCATTAAAGGTTATCTTACTCAACCCCCTTCAACGGAAGAGGAGGACACGGAGGCCCGAAGGGGTGAAGGAAGATACCCAGACCACACAGAGAACTTGCTGGGCGTGGGGGATGCTCTGGGGCCCCGTCCTTACGGGCGACGAGAAAAACAAAGCATCTTACCGTCGTCCAAGTAGGTCTGGTCCAAATTCTGCTCCTGCTTAATTGTCACTCCTGCGGGTAATACTTCCTTTTGGTCACTGACCGGGGGTCCGTTTTTGGCGGCTCTTTGGCTGGTGGCATTCTGCTGCTGAATGACCGTGGGGTAGGACCCCGGGCTCAGCCTCTGACCTTGACTGGCGGGGGGCGGGCCGGGCCTGGCGGGGCCGGGCGCGAAATTCTCGCAGTACATGATGTGCTGGAACTCCTGGTGGCCACCGCAGCGCAGCTGCTGGCCGGTGGGCGAGTAGTGGATCACCGGCGAGGCCTGCTGGTTGGCCGGAGAGGAGTGCAGCAGGCTGGAGCTCTGGCCCTGGGAGCCGGCGTGCACCAGCACGGAGCGGTGGGCGTCCGCCAGGGACAGGGGGGCGGCCATGAGGGCCGGCTGCTGGTAGCCCAGCAGGCTGGGGCTCAGGCTCTTGCTCCGCTGGTAGAGGACGGCCGCTGGGTTCTGCTGCTGGTAGCGGGCGTCGGGGGACGAGAGCCCCGAGCGGAACTGTTGGCAGGGCGCCATGGTGGCCACGAGGCAGGAGGGGGACTCAGCCACCATCGGGTGCTGCGGGTAGTAAGGCTGGCTCCCCAGGCCCCCGTGGGCCGGGCTGCAGATCAAGGTGGGGTCGTATTCGTCGGTGGGCTCCGTCTTGATGGCTGGGACTGGGCGAGAGAGAAGCACAGGGGGCGGGCCTTCTTAGTGAGCCACAGGGGTGCACGGGGGGGGGGGGGGGGGGGGGGGGGGGGATTAGTGGACTGCGGCTGGGGACGCGGCCTTGGGCGGCCACGTAGGTGGGAGCAGACCTTTGGGCTCTGTCATTTATTAGCCTCGGACAAGAGCCTCCCTGTGTACCTGTCTCAGAAGCCCGAAATTTTACCCTGAGCGATGAGAGTCGCAAGGCGGCTGGCAGGTGCGTCTCAGCCCCAGGGTGTTTGCAGGCTCTTCCCCCGGGGCAGAGCTCAGGGACGAAGGCTTAACGTTACAGTCCCCTCCAGCCCCCTCCTCCACCTTCTCTCGCAGTTCACACCGCCTTTCCCTGCTTGTCGTCCTCGGAAACGTGTATCACCTGGAATACTCTGTGTCTTTCACGTGCCATCGTTAGCTGAACCACCCCCACTCCAGACTGTCAGCTCCCCAAACGGAGGATTTTTTTGGTCTGCTTTGTTCAGTGCTGCGTCCCTAGCACCGAAAACGATGCCTTGCACTCCACTGACACTCAGATATTTTCTGGAAACAGGAATGACTGGGCAGTGGGGTGGGGTCCACCTCCTCAGTTCTGTAATATTCTGGGGGAAAGGAAACCTGCTGGCCTGAGCCTCAGTTTCCCCATCGGTCACAGTAACCAGCATACCTACCCCATGGGGTTGTGGGGAAGGTGAACTGAGATGTGTGGAAAGTACTTAGCACAGTGGCCGGTATACAGTAGGTGCTCAAGGCTTACTGTTGTCGCTATTATCGTCTTACCACCATTGGTATTGTGGCAGTTCCTGTCCCTCTCCCTCCCTAGGGCGGTCACCGGAACTTGTGCTTCTCCAGAATCCTTTACTAAAGCATTGCCAGCCCCAGGAGCTGAGGAACCAGTCCCCTCCCTGGATCGAATGAAGTGGTGACAGGACTGTCATCAAGGGGGGGACCCGTCAGGTGTCAGGGAGCAGGGCAGCAAGGAGGTTCTGGAGCTAGAGCAAACGGCAGCAAACCAGGAATCGTCTCCCAAGGTGCCCTTCGAAGACGTGCGCTTCAGCCCCTGGCCGACCTGGGGGACTGAATTCTCGCTCAGGCCATGCTCGGACAGGCGGGTGCCAACGCCAGGCCCAGGAGGGCTCCTGACCACAAGCACGAGGTGGGAAGGCCGCAGAACACAACGGAAAACCTCTCTGCCAACAAGGATCATTGAACTGAGGTCTAGAACCTCCCCAGAGATCCCCCCCCCGCCCCAGTTTGGGGGCCCTGAAGGCCACCGCCACTGGCTGCATGTCAAGTCAGTCCTGGGACGGTCCAATGGCCAAAGGGGCCATGGAAACCGGTGGACACGCTCCACCGAAGCCAAGCCCCGCCAAGCCTGGGCTGCTGGGACAGCCCCCTTGGTCTGATGCTTCCAGCAGCCCAGAGGCTCCGTGTGAAACTGCCACAGGATGGAAGTTATACCCTGGGCGACAGTCTCCCAATCCCGGAAAGGTGGCTAATAGGTCTGGGGCAGCCTTGGGAGGCATGCAGGCCATTTCTGCAGCCCTGGTTATAATCTGCCGTGTCAATAATATCCATATGACCCACTCTCTGAATCTCCTGTGATCAGTATTATCCTTTATCGGAATCCCCCATTTGAACATGAGATCCAACGAGGGTGGGGCTTTTTACGTTTTGTTCATGACAGTGTCTCCAAGCCAACCACAGTGTGGGGCCCTTGGATATTTTCTGGACAAACGAATGAATGCAACATGGCCCTTGTCACTTGTCTTCTGACAGTGGTGCTTTGTGGGAATGAGACGTCCTGGCCGGCTGTCCACCCAGGAGCTCTAGGTGGCCACGGGTGACCACTTACTGTCAAGATTCTGCAGGTTTCCGGCCACGTTCGCTTACCCAATCATGATCAGATCTAAGACACGGACAGGGGGCGCCAGCTTTGCACCCTTCTGTTGAACAAGTCCCCACGTGCCTCTCTCCTACTCTGCCCTCCCGAAGAAAAATATTCACAGTAACATTTGTTAAGGTCATTCATACCCGCTTACCGTGCGCCGTGCTGAGCGCTTCACGTGCATTTGACTTCTGTAAATCTTATAAGGAAGGTGCCACTTGACAGATGAGGAAATGGAGGCTCAGAGAGGTTGAGCCACCTGCCCAAGGTCAACCAGCTGAAAGCAGACCTCGTGTGTCCTTACCGCACGCCCGTGCTGCCTTTCACCACCAAAGGGGCCTTCGGAGAAGATTCCTTACCTGGGTGGTAAGTAAAGTGCTGAGGTTGACTCCGTTTTCTTTTCCCATTGATGACGTAGAAGTTGACCTTCACCGATGCACGGATGTGCTTGTTTCGATATTCAGGGATCTCAACAAAAAGCATGTTCTGGAAGGAAGGAGCCACCGTTAACTGCAACAGTGTCTAAATTCCTACACAAGGCCCCAAGCACATCAAGCCAGCCCATCTTACAGGAGTCAAGACACTCTGTACGTTTGCAGGCGAAACGCTATTTAAGGGGAACTGGACTCTTTAGCTGCAGCAAAGAAAGGGTTGCCACTTACTGTATCCAAGTGCATTATGATGTCACAGTTACAAATCAAGGGGTCTGGTGCTCGATAAATTGCTCGATTTGTTTCTCAATTCAGTACCTACTGAGTGCCCGTTAGGTCCAAAGCACTGGGACTTTGATGAAGGAGGGGGAAGAGAAAGAAGGAAAGAGAGCACGAGGGAGGCGGGAGGGAACACAGGGTGTTCAGTCGTCTCGCCCATGTGCTTACAGGCTGGCTCTTGTCTTTATCCACCGTGGCTTCCATTTCCCAAATTTGCTGCCCATCTGGAAAGAGTTCAAAAAGACACACTTTGAAGGAACTACTAGAAGCCAAAGATTTAAGACCAAAACTCATCACGCCTTATATTTATCTTGGTTTACGTGTCATATCATTTCAGCAAGGGACATCCGTGTGTTTGCGGTAGGCATGTCTATTTGAACATACATGGCTTATGTCCATGTGCGTATGTTTCTTTTTCCAAATGGAACGCATGCTGACAGTAGAAAACTGGGCAACAGTAGAAAACAAGGAAAAGAACGGAAATCGCCCATCATCCCAGTGCCGTTATTTTCCCTGTGTTTGAATGTCTATATATCTTTCTTTAAAACAGAGATAGTACTGTATGCTTTGTGCAACCACAGGCTGTTTCCAAAATGTCCCACACGCCAAGACTGTCACAGGGGCCCCATTACAGAACACTGACTGCCCCAGACATGCCTTCTTGATCGTCTGGGAACACAGGTGGCTTGCATATTCTGTCTCAAACAATGTCCTGGCTTGCGAAACCTGGGACGGGGGGACAGGAGCCCACCCCCCCCCACACACACACACACACACTCTGCAGTCAACAGCCTACATTTCAACGTGACTCATTATAATCATCGATGAGAGGTCTTTCTCAGGAGTGAGCTCTCTTTCCCTGGAGAAGAAGACTAGCTCCCCAGTTTGGGGCCAACAACTTGGGCCAAACAAAACTCTGCATTCGCAAATAACAGATTTCTTTTTCTGACCACCTACATTGGCCATTGGGCAGTTTTCGACGGAAACAAATCATTTCCACAAGTGTTTCCAGGGTGTTTTGTGGAACGCTGGCTCTGAAGAATATTAAATGGGTTTATGAGGACCAGAAACAAATTCTAAAGCTAATAAGCATTTGGAAAATGCTGAGTCAATGTCAAATGGGTTTCTTTACTGCAGGACTTCTCAGAGCCTTTAATCTGCTCGTGTGCAGTGTAACTCTCCGAGGTGGGCTGGAGTAAGTACCACGTCCCGACATTTGGCCACGGAAGCCCTCTCCCCTGTTTTAAGCACAACTGTTAACATCTTCTGTGACAGATTAGATTTGAATCCATAATGTCTCGGCTCTCAAGGTTTGCCCAAAGAAATGTGGTTTCTAAGCATTATTTGAACTTCCTCGTATAGAACATATTTCCCAAAATACTAATTAATAAGCTCCTGTGATTGCTACCCAAGCCGACGCAATGTAGATAATCTTAACAACATGTAGACAACGAACTAGCTGGAGCCTTCTGTAACCATGAAGTCTGCAAGTCTTGACCTTACGGTTCTAGTAGATGCAACTCCTGAAATGATTAAGGGAGACATGGGTTTATGTCAAAAAGGGAACAGGAAGAGGCAATCAACATACCAACTCCCACCATGACGGGAGGGACCAAGTTAGAGTTGCTGCCGTCTCCCCAACACCCGAGACATCGCAGTGCCCGTGAACATCTCATGTCTGAGCATTCCAAAGTGGCGGCAGCTAGCATCAGCCACTGCTCAAAAGCAAGCAAGAAAGGACAGATGGACGGATATCAAGGAATTTGAAGTTAGGTCATCAAGACAGGGCACTTTCCTGGGGAAAAGCCCGGGAGAGAACTAGACAGAAAAAATTCTTATCCCTTTAGCAAAGACGGGTCAAAGATCATCCGCCAGAGAACTATGTCCCTCCCAACGGTGGTTATAAACGGGGCGTGGTCCTTGTCAAAAGTGCATTCTTGGGGCGCCCGGGGGGCTCAGTCAGTTAAGCCCCCGACTCTTGATTTAGGATCAGGTCACGATCCCACCGTTCGTGAGATCGAGCCCTGCGTGGGGCTCTGAGCCGACAGCACAAAGCCTGCTTGGGATTCTCTCCCCCCTCTCTCCCTCTCTCTCTCCCTCTCTTTCAAAAATAAATAAACATTTAAAAAAAAAAAGAACGTTCTTGTTGACTAACTGCAATGTGAGCTCAAAGTCAGAAGATTAAGTAACAAACTAACGGAGGGAACGAACAATAATGTGTTGATGCCCTAGCCTCTCGTTGGCTGAGTTG